GTAGGAGCATTTAGGCTCTGTGGAGTGGCTTTAATCCTGTTCCATCACATACTAGCTAGTTGGAGACGTCTGGGGCTCAGTTTTTACCTGGAGAGTGGGGTAGCAGCAAGACCTACATCACAAGGTTGTGGCAAAGATGAAATAAACGAACATGTGCAAAGTGCTCAGAAAAGCATCTAGCACTTTGTAAGTGTTCCACGACGTTACCTAATGCTGATACTGGAGATAATGGTGTGGCATTTCTGTGCGTGCGAGGACTCAATCTTCTCTGCGTCCCGTCTCTGCCTGTCACCAGCTGGATGAGTTTGCAAGTTTTTTTGCTCCTTTACTTGCTGATCCCTCAGATAAATTTTCTCATACAAGCTGGGGACATACGTGGTACAGAGCTCATGGAGGTGATGAGAAGATTAAATGAGATAATGCACATAAAGTGCTAAACACAACACCTGGAGTATCAGAATTAATTGCTCAGGGGTGGCAGTTCCTTTTTTAATGTTTATTTACTTTTGAGGGAGGGAGGGAGGAAGGAAGAAGGAAAGGGAGGGAGGGAGGGAGGGAGAGAGAGAGAGAGAGAGAGACAGAGGATCCAAAACAGGCTCCGTGCTGACAGCACAGAGCCCGATGTGGGGCTCGAACTCACAAACTGTGAGATCATGACCTGAGCTGAAGTCTGACGCTCAACCCATTGAGCGTCAGCCAGGTGCCCCAGGGGTGGCAGTTCCTACCCTGCTGTTACTACATCTACGGGTACTTCTACTGCTACTCCGTATTATTGCCATGACTAAAACAAAAGTAACACGAAACTCTGTGATAGACACCCAGCCTTCTTTAAAGATCAACCCAACCATGTATCAGAGTTTTATTAAATATATAATCTATCAAGTACCTACTAGCACCTGATAGGCTAGGCATTTGTGTCTTCCCCCTACAGTGACCTCACCATCTCAATACACCCTTGTGAACCTGTGTTAGGAAATGCGAACACAAGTACTTTTCCAAATTCAATTCGTGGATCTGATGTCTACGAACAGAGCAAATTTGAGTCAACTGGATGCTCTGATGGAAACACTTAGCTAATATTCTGTTGTTGTTTTTTTAATGGAATGAACTGCGGGTTTTCAGACTATGTAAATCTTCTACCTTGGAAGAACTGAGTGGCAGGGCCAAGTGCAGTCCATTTATATCTTAATATGATGAGACAGAAATCCTGTTAAGCTCAGGCAGGGCTGGCTACAGCCACACAGGCTGAGTCTAAACAAGGCAAACATTTTCAGGCAGGACGAGGGATTTTTACTTCCCTGAACTGGATGATCTTGAAGGGACTGAACAGGTGTTACTTTGGGTGAGAATGGGAGATGTGCAGCAGGGAGAGCCTTCAGCACCCAGGGTTAAATCTATCCCTTTCCTTTCATCCTTCTGTAGGCTTGGAGCACAGTAGCCGAATCCCGGATCATGGAATTCTTTTCTCCTCCCCACACGTCCAGCTACCAGTCTGCTTTCCAGTTGTGAGCTGTCTCTTTTACAAATGGTACACTAGGTGTTTGTGTTTTCAGCGACTATATAAGCCCACTCACCCCACCCCCGCCCCATCCCCACTTTCAGCCTGGTCTTTGAGGTCCTCAGTAAAGGTCCATAGTAGTTAATCAATAAACAGCTGTCCATTTGGTTAGCCCTCTATGAGGGCAGCATCTACTTCTGACCATGTACCAGCCAGCTTTATGTCCGGGACAGAGAGTAGCCTCAGCAAGCTAAGAAATGAATCCTCTGGCTACTTTGTGAGCACTGGGTTATCCCCTTTTCTCTTTCTCAATGGGTAGATGGAATCTGGATGAAAGCCTACGAAGAGAACTTCGGTGTGGCTTCTTTTCAGGCCTGTCCTAATGAAACACCCTGCCAGCAGCAATTGAAATTCTACTTACTATGAGTCACACCCTGAGTCACGTGGGTTGCCACAGCAACCTATTAACTGTATAACCAAAGCACCTTCCATAAGCTTTGCCCAGAATGGTTGCTGCGTCTTCCTGGACTGTGAAAATCCTATGGGTGAGCCCCAAGTTTGGTGGAGTTAAGAGTCTACAATCAAAAGGAATGGCCTCAAGGACAAGAGACGAAAACGAGCAAATAAGGTTATTTTAGTTCTCAGACCTCCTGAGTAAATGGCAACAATCGTGACAAATTGTTGGGTTGGTTTTGTGATATCAACAAATGCCTAAGGAGAGGAGGTTGAGGCCTCGAAACTAATTTTCTCTGAGTCAAATTCAAAGCCAAGTCTCTAGGGGTGAAAAGTGAATACATTAACCTATTCCACTTTAAATGACTGTGGTAAACACTTTTTTCTTTTTACAGATACGAAGGATTATTTCTCAAGGAAATATTCTGATTTGTACTAAAATATTTTTACTATTGAGAGCTAGAATCTCTTTATAAATAAGATAGCACTTTAATTTTATATGTTCGGTATTAGCCCACCGTAAGCAAACATTGGAAAGTGTCCTCGATCACCTTTAATGGCTATTCATGTTAAAATTGAAATATTTCAGAAGATTCAGAAGCATATTTTATTTTGCTATTTATTGGGGAAAACTGACATGAATTCAGATTAAACAGATACATTTTTCTGACTGCGCACCGAGTCCCCTGCAATTTTCATGTGACTATAAGTGCCTGATCCTGAGGGAAGAAGGCAAGCAGAACAGACTTCAATAGGAAGAATAAAGAATATAAACATGAATGAGAACAGGAAGAAGTCACAACCATCTGTTGCCTCTGCAAACCATCCAGGAGCCTACCTGGTGTCTTTTGGGTCTGCGTTGGGGTGATTGGCTGATAAATTCCCTTAGGTTCCTGACTCCATGATGCTCAACTTCCTAGCAGCTCGATACAACTAAGATGATCTGTTGCATTTTTCTTTTACTTTTTCACCTCCAAATTTGCCATCTTCTATAATTTTAGTGTAGGCAGAACTATCCAGGTAGATTTAGATTAAAAAGTCAGGGGCAAATGACCGGTTGTCCTTGGCAAATAAAAACCAAAACAGCAGCTGATGCCATGAAAAAGATATTTCCCCAACATGGTACGATTTCAGCAGGAAAGAGACCAAAACAAACTTGTGAAATACCGAAGTAAAACCAACCTTTAAAGTGTCCAACCAAACACAGGTGCTATATAATCACCACAAAGATTAAACTGAAATTCTACAACAGGGTGTAAAACTTATCTGATATATCCCTACCCCACAAGTAAACACTTCCTTTTCTATTCACATACCAAAACCGACAGCAACATTTCCTATCAACAATTGCAGAATATCACAAATGAAAGCCTTCTTTGACCAGTTTGGTCACGATGACTTAGTACTAGAAGGCCCAAAACTTTGCCTTCTCCCACCGGCCAAGTAAAGTTAATGACAAACACCACCAGTGCCTTTCTCGAGAATTCAGGAGAATCTGAGTTCTCCAAACACCCCGCTTGTGAATTCCTCTGAAGCTAATAATCAGATTTTCCTTCCTGGGACTTTCTGGCTCAAGTCACCCAAAGCACTTTTATTTATTTATTTTTTTAAAGAAGCAATGTCTATGCTTTCCAGATAACAAGGTGGCCTAAAATATGATCAGGTGTCACATCTACTCAGGTTCATTTTGTAGTTCTCACACTTCTGACTGGTGTACCTGTGAGCTGACACTCTAGTCTGATAATATATTCTGCAACTGTACATGTTAATTTGTAAGTTGAACCATCTCTCTGTGAGGGCAGTTAGGAAACCCAGACTGAAATTGCTAATGTGGGGTGACTTTAGCTGTCGATGATTATGTAGTCAAGCCCTGACCAGGGTTTCCAGAACACTGGCTAAAAATGGAAGTCTTGAGACAGTACAAAAATGAATTCATATAGTTCACTGATAGTGAAACTTTTTGAAGAACAGATGTCAAGATGATTTAAGAGGAGCTGGAATTTAACATCTTAGGAAAACTTATAGGCAAGTTAGGACAGTTCAGTTTTCAAGAAAAATCCGACAGATGCTAAAGAAGAAGTCATTTGGGTGACTGTTATTGGAGAAAGAACTGATTGATTTTCTTCCTCCTCACAAGTTGTAGGCCCTGTAGAGATGCTAAGATCAGAAATATGATGGGTTGTCTGCTGAGTTGGGTGACAAAAACAATCTCCACATTTAAGTGGCATAGAAGACTTTCACTAACACGCCAGCTTGGACAATTCAATTTCTCCTTGGCATGTGCAAAGTCTTGTGTCAACTGTCTGTTCAGATGCTATTCTTCTCAAGTCGTCATTGATCTGTTTTATCGTGGGCCCTCTCCCCTCAATCATCAAAGTAAACACCAAACAAAAACTAAGATGATTTCTGATATCTTTGGGTCGATTTAATATTTAAATTACATAAAGCGAGCTTTATTTTAAGTCTCTCTACATTTATTTTATGCTTAATGTCTAAGACTTTTCCTGCTGTTTTCCATAGTTAGAAAGGCAGTCAAAATCTACACACTCTGGCTACATCTTGATTTTGTTTTAAAGCAGGTATAGCTGATGGAGTTGGTTAAGCCTTTGCTGCAGGGCCAACCTGGTTCTATTTCCTCTTCCTGGAACACCAGTGTTTCTTTACTAGACACCAATCTCATGCTGTCATCCAAATCTTTCTATGATTTTAAATGTGACCACAAGTTATTGTTTCTGCAATAGGCCAAATGAAATTAGTCTCAGGGATGACAATTCCTTGAAGGTCCTCATGGATGGATGGTCTATATAGTTACTAACATCTCTGGTCTCTGTCTTACTGAGGAGCACTCTTTGTATCCAATGGAGTTCAACTAGTGGTTTTATCCACTTATCCAAGAGCCAAGTCATAATGCAAATAGTCAGTGACTTTCTGTGTATTGCCAGGTGGCCAGGAGTCCATACCCCAAACCACCATAAACAGTAGGCATAATCATCCGCTCCTGTTCGGGAGAGGCCCAGGACTGAGCTAGCAGAAAGACTGAATTACTTACCACCTCTAGAGTGGGTCCCTCCAGGCCAGGGACGAGCTCATGGGCAAGGCTGTGCAAGGAAGCGCTCTGTACCATGCCTGCCCTGCGGATATACAGAGGACTTCAGTCTCCTGCACTGTCAATCTCTCAGTCATCATGAGCTCAATTATGCACCGACAACAGCAAGAACAACAACAACAACGACGACAAAACAACCCCCAAAAAGCTAAGGGCCACAGACTACCGTGATGGAGGGACAGCCAACTGGAACTGTGCATTGAGAGATGGAGGTGCTGTCCTGATCATGTGTCCATTACGGACCCGACCTTTACATCTTTCCTCAAACAAAATTCCATTGAAGCCCATGGGAGAGCCACGTGGAGAGACTGCAGGACTGGGCCCTAAGAGTCAGGCAACCATCGAATTTGGTGGGGTGTTCTTTTGTTTGTTTGTTTTTGTTTTGTTTTGTTTTTTTTGTTTGCTACAAATACAGATAGACAGACAGACAAACCCAAGAGCAGATTTCAAGAATCAACTGAGGCACAAGATCAACTACTTTGATGTTACACAGATTTTTCCCCCAAATGTTTCACATGAAACCAAAAATTTTAAAAGCGTAATTAGGAAATATTTGGGGACACATCTTTGTCGGCCCTAAATTGTGCCATAAATATCTCCACAGCTTGCCTTAGAAGGATGCCCAAGCACATCTCATGGGTAGCACATATCTGTGGTCTAAAATAGTTATCTAATTCTGATGACACTATTAATTCAAAGTCTAAGTATGCTGGTCAAGTACAGTGAAAGTTGACTGCCTGCATCAATGACGGATTAGTTTCATCCTGAGGTTCAAAGCACAGTCAAACATTATTGCTCGGATTGCAAAATCACAACACTTTACATTGACGTGAGTTTGTAAACTTATGGTGTAGTTCGAATGAAGGCAATTGATGAAAGCAGTTGAACCTGAGAAGTGGGGATGAATACAGAGTGTAATTCCAGCGCACATTTCCACATCAAACTACCAATGCCATTTACCAGGGCCCTCACGGGCCACACTCATGGTCGAGCGACAGCACCTATATTCCCAGTCAGTATCTCTGCTCCACAGACACAAGTACAAAACGGCCTAAATCGTGAACTAGTGGTGAGGAAAAGGAGACCAAAGTTTAAAAGAAATCAAGGTGATGTTTCCTAGAAACATACCAGTTGAAGGATCCAGAATAGGGGTGATCAGTAAGTAATTAATTGATCCTCCTGACTAGGTTTGATGATTTTTCTGAAGACTAATGACTTGAATCACTAGAATTCATCAGACCATGTCTAGACTCTCTTTAACACACACTCAGTACAAACAGGTGGAGATGTACCACTTCCGACCACTACAGGTAGAGAAGTATGACCTCTGTTGACCATGGATCACAGCTGAAACATTAGTTTATACTTGAAGGGTCACAGCAGCCAGACATATGCGAATTCCAACTCTTCAGAACTTTGGGTTAAAAAAAAAGGCATTACTTACATGTATGCGTCTTCTTCGTTACTGAGATACCTAGAAGAGAAGAAACAATGACAAAGGTAAGAAAGCGTCCCGTGTGTACTTCTTGAGATGCACATCATTCACAGCGTACCCAGGAACGCATTTGTTGAGACGGCGATGCAGAGGCAGGATCGGTCTTATTCTTGGCCGCCAGTGGCACTGGACCCTACCCCAGAACAACAGAACCGTGGATGACAGGCACGGCCAGCATCGCCTACTGATTTTCTGCGGTAAAAAGCAGCAGCGTGGACAGTAATTAAACAGGGTGAGAGAAGACTCTCAGTTTTCATTTTAAATAGGGGAGATGACGGCGTTTATAGGCAGAGTGGGGAAGATGTGAGGCACGAGAGAGTGATGCCAACCTGCTCAGACAACAGTGAGCTGAGCGCCAGAGCAATTAATTTGCTATGGCCATTGATTCTGTGTTTACTTTTTAATGAAAACGACTCTGCCGGCTCACATGAAGCATAACTTCTTATGGCGAAGGAAAAAACCTCCACAAAATGTACCTATCTGTCCACACTCATTAAAGTCAGAAGGGGAATAACTGCTGCTGCTCCGTGAACGGCACCAAAACGAACACACACGGTACGAAAACACGAGGGATTCATGAGTCAGCACCCTGGATGCTTCCAAGATGATTTACGGAGAGCAGGTGACAGATGAACGGGGCTAAGCAAGATTCAGCACATAAGACCACATCAAGATAACACGAACGCATGCTTCAGTGCAAACAGCGCCATCTCTGTTTCGGAAGGACTCCATTTTGAACTCCTTACACTCTGTTCTTCTTGGGGGAGATTCTTGAGACTAAATAGCTCAAAGTAATACAACTCTTGAAAACGTTTGGCCTGTGACTAAGAACTGTGGTAAACCTTGACATTTTTTTTTCTTTCAAGTTATTAAGAGAACTATTTAACCCTCCTCTGGAAAGTAAAAGTTGTTGAAACATTTGGCATCCACATCAGACCCATTACTTAGCTATGGAACAAATCGTACAGGGAAGAAATCCGTTATGAAAATCCATGGTAGACGTAAAAAAAAAAAAAAAAAAAAAAAAGAGTTAGTTCCAAAGTTGTGTGCCAAGACCAAAATCACACGCTTGCTCCCCCCACAACTTTCCAAAGGGCTTATTTAGGGAAGCTGAAATTACATAGCCCAACTCGAATTCTTTTTTCCCCCCCTTTTTATTGAGGAAAACTAAACCATTGTTTTTCATCATGTTTGAGTTGGCTTCTCAAAGTGAAGTTAGAACCTTCTGTGAGGAGCCTTGAAGGCTCTCTCACATGGGAACTACAAAAATGTTCCAGAATTTTTTTTGAAATAAGCTTTATCATGGGAAGGGAGCTTCCCCCAACAGCAACTGCGAGTGAAGTTGAACATCTGAATACAATTTGCAACTCCAGCTCATGACACCAGCACCAATAAATTGATACATTAGTGCTCTTTCAGCATTATGAGGGCTATATGTGTACTTTCCTTAGGAAATAATGCTTTCTGTAAAATCACTTTGAAGAGAAAGTGCTTATGCTGTCACTCCTGATTATTCAGAACCTCCGCACAATTGGATTTAACACAGCCCCAAACAGACCTATCTATATTCGCTGAGTGTGGAACTATTTTCTCCTGACATCCAAAGCCCTGATGAAAATACCACTGCTTTGACTTTTCTACTTAAATTTATTATACCGCGTGATGCGGTGCTCTCATCAAATATTTTCATGAAGATTACGTTGATAATAGATTCTGAAAATCTTTCCAGGAAAGCCGCCTGATCTTTGGGATCGCGGTGGCACAGAGCTAAAACTACTCACACCTGTCTCCAGGAGAAAGCGTGACCCCAGCATCAGTAGCGACTCGGGCCCTCAGTTTGATTAGCTGCCACTGAGCGCTACCAATATAATGAACTGGGGGGATATACCTACAGACAGGTTGCCAGATTTAATAGATAAAACACAGGATGCCAGTTCAATTTGCATTTTGGATTCTCCTTCATTGTATATTTGAAATTCAAATTTCACTGGGCATCTTGTATTTTATCTGGCAACGCTAATCCATACAAATAAAACACAAATTATATCTCTTACCTACAGTGAAGAACATAACAATAAATTAATAGTACATTTTCATGGGGAAAGGCTTAAAAACATACCCCTCTTGTGAAAGCAATGTTTTTCTTTTTCTTTTTTGAGAGAGAGAGAGAGACCGTTGAATGCATACACGTGAAGGAGGGAGAGGGGGCAGAGAGAGAGACAGACAGACAGACAGACAGGGAGAATCTTAAGCAGGCTCCATGCTCAGCTCAGAGGCTGAGTTGGGGCTCAATCTCACGACTGTGAGATCATGACCTGAGCTGAAATTAAGAATTGGACGCTTAACTGAATGAGCCACCTAGGCGCCCTGCAAAATTTTAATAAAAAGTGCATTACTGCTAAATACAAGACTGGACTATACATATCATTAAATTTTTTTTTTTTTACTTAATAGCCTTTATGAAGACAAAATTCTATTATCCAAAAAAAGTAAACAAATGAAAACAACGTGAACACTCAAAAGATAAATTTAATGGAATGATGAGAAAGTTTACTGGCATTCCCCTCCTCCTCCTATCCTGAAAAATAACATTGGTGATCGCACTAACATCTCGAATTTGTGCAGCTCCTTTCTCTATAGAAGCTCTAGCATTTCATAGCAACTGACTCCACAGAAGTGTAAAAAAAAAAAACAAAAAAAACCCCAAAACCATAAAATATCTTCATTTCACAGATGGGTCAAATGAGGCTCAGGGAAGTTTAAGTAGCACAATAAAAAGCTTTCTGTGGGAAGTTAATATCCTTCTGGAAATGTATCCACGGCTCATATTTAAAAACCCTGGTACAAGGCAAAAGATTTATATGATCTGAAGAGAACTGAAGGTTGGTTGATAGGGGGTGGGGGAGAGGGGGAGTGGGTGATGGGCATTGAGGAGGGCACCTGTTGGGATGACCACTTGGTGTTATATGGAAACCAATTTGACAATAAATTATATATATAAAAAATAAAATAAATAAAAGTTAAAACTAAAAAAACAAAAACAAAAACAAACCCAGAAACAAACCCTGGTACAGACAGTGCCTCTCAAGAGTAAATATTCAAAAAAAGATTTACACCCAGGACCATACCACTCAGCAGTCAGCTCTGTAAATGATTTAAACCTATGGGGTCCCTGTCCTTTAGTCTTTTCTCAACCAGGAAGCCCCACCAGGGCTTGGGTGAAGGAGGTCCTCAAACAGAGAGGCCCATATACCCTGGTTTTCGACCCTTCAGTGGGGGTGAGGTGGGTCTTGCCTTTTTCTTCTCATTTCCCCAGAGGTTGCAAGATTCCTGCCTTTCTTGACAGAAAGTGCCTCCTTAATGAGATCACAGCAGTCATACATTGCCCATTTTTGTCCTTAAGCAGATCCAAACCTAACGTAACCAGCAGCAGTGGGAGTAGCAGCTCTGAATAATGAATTGTTGGAGAACTGGTTTTCCAAAGATAAATTTCATGAGTATTTAGTAGGCAAACAGCTCTAATTCTACCCCGGAGTAGAAAAGAATTGACTTTTTAAAGGCAGCTCTTAAGATAACTAGATTTGGAGTCTTGCTGACCTGAGCTTGCATTCATAGCCCATACACTTTCTGCTTCTTGGCTGAGAGACCTTGGCCAAGTGACCTAACTTCTCTGGGCTGAATTTACAACTGTCTATAATCATAATAATATTCAAAAGGTTGCTGTGAAAACTAAGAGGAAATAATGTCAGGGTGCCTGGGTGGCTCAGTCGGTTGAGCGTCCGACTTCGGCTCACGTCATGATCTCATGGTTCATGGGTTCAAGCCCCGCGTCGGGCTCTGTGCTGACAGCTCAGAGCCTGGAGCCTGCTTCGGATTGTGTCTCCCTCCCTCTTTGCCCCTCCCCGACTTGTGCTCTGTCTCTCAAAATAAATAAACATTACCAAAAAAAAAAAAAAAAAAAAAAAAAGATATAAGGATGTCAAAGAGCTTTCCAAACTGGGAAGCATAATAAGAATGTTAAAAGGGTGGGGCACACACGGTCTTATTTTCACAAAGCAGAATCAGAATGTTCTACTGAAAGCTATGTCCTAGCTATCCTGATGTCCCTGGGTTTCACACTGACTTACGGCCTAGGACTCTTTTTCAGACCCAGTGCTCTGACTTGAACATTCATACTGGTTGGAGGAGAGTTCCTCAAAGTAAGTGTGTGCTATTCTAGACCCTGAAATCCCCTGGACTCTTCACTCTCTGAAATCCAGGGAAGATACTTGCTCATTGGCAAGTGTGCTAAGTGTGCTGCTGTTTAGTGCAGGCAGAGGACTTTGATCGCCACCACCAAAGGGTGTCACACAGAGTCCAGCTGTTGTGAAGGTTTTGATTTGCTTCCAAGTGACTGGGAAGAACACCAAGATCCTTCCACTGAGATCTGCAAACAGGCCACCGGGCAGAGTAGTGATCTCTACAGAGACTGCAACTTCACGGAGCTGTGGGAGAGTCACTACCCTGAGCCAACAGTGAACTCACTGGTTGATTTGGGCGAGTCACTCAACATCTCTCTGGGCCTTAGTTTTCTCATCTGTAGAATGAGATAGTTGCACTGCATGGTTTCTTAATTTCCTGTCTAGTTCATCGATCCGTGGCTCCTTGCCCTGCTTTCTAGCTCTCAAACCAAGCCTCCTCTTTCTAAGCAACAGGCTTCCAGATCTATTTCTCACTGTACAAAAATCTAATGTAGCTCACAATCAAAGGTAACCCCCTGAAACTTTTTTCTTTTTGCCTTTAAAAACCAAAGAAGAAAGAAGGCAGTACCCACAAAAGGTTATATAAGTAAAAGCTACACTTCTTTTGGGTGATATTTTAAAATTATCTGGGCTAGAGAAAAATGGTACCTTTTGATAAAGTTGCAAGACTCCTTAT